GGCTTTTATTGTAGAAGATTCTCTGTAAAAGTCTATATAATCATTAGACTGATGAATTCTAAGAGATTTTTCATTATCAACATTTCATACTATAATTAGGGCAGTTAATCAGTATACAGATACAATACCAGCAAGAGTTATTATAAAAAATAAGAAAGAAAGAAGAGAGAAACACTGGACTGGTATATTTTATCCTAACTGATGAATTTATGTTTAACATCTGTTTGGAGCAAGAGCCATTCTGTGGTAAAACATAAATAAGGGAAGTTCCACTTTACTTATCATGTCTCTTGAGTTTTGTGTCAAATGATTTGAAAATGCATTGTTATTAGGAATTCAAATTGGTTGACATATATTGCTGATGTGCCTGAATATATACTGTCAGATAAGAAACTGGTTCAAGGTCTGTCTTGCAGAATATGCATGGTAGATAGTACAGTGACAATTGTAACTGATGTCTGTTATTAAGGTGAAAAGATTTGGTAACAGGACACTATCAAATCAAGTTAGACTGCTTAAAAAAAAGTGACCATAGTTGCCATAAATGAAAATTTAACATATCCTACATTATTGTTATTTAGGATATTAAATTGGGAATAATAAAGATCTTTTGCTATTTTATATAGTAATGATTTGCAGATAATTAGGTATAGCTGAGTCTTTAACAATTATCATTCAGAGTATTATACTGGGAGTATTATGAATTGAAAAAAAAGGAAGAAAATGTTGCCCTATGTACCAATCTTGACATTTTTTAAGGGGTATTAGTATGTGAAGAGGATGAAGAAAAATGGAGGAAGAAAGAGAGAGAGTACAGGCATACGTAAAAAACAGCAGAGAAAAGACAAAAGAAAATGGAGGTAAAATGAAGTTGAGGTAAGGAAAAAGAGAAGAGAAACAAAAAGACAGAAAAAAGTGAAAGAGAAAAAAACAAAGCAGAGCAAAGAAAAAGTGTGAGAGTAAGAGAGAGAGAGAGAGAGAGAGAGAGAGAGAGAGAGAGAGAGAGAGAGAGAGAGAGAGAGAGAGAGAGAGAGAGAGAGAGAGAGTGAGGAGAGGAGAGGAGAGAGGAGAGGAGAGGAGAGAGAGAGAGAGAGAGAGAGAGAGAGAGAGAGAGAGAGAGAGAGAGAGAGAGAGAGAGAGAGAGAGAGAGAGAGAGAGAGAGAGAGAGAGAGAGAGAGAGAGAGAGGAGAGAGAGAGAGAGAGAGAGGGAGAGAGAGAGAGAAAGTGAGGGAGGGAGAGAAAGAGAGAAAGAGAGAGAGAGAGAGAGAGAGAGAGAGAGAGAGAGAGAGAGAGAGAGAGAGAGAGAGAGAGAGAGAGAGAGAGAGAGAGAGAGAGAGAGTTTGTGTGCGTGTGCGTGTGAGTGTGTGTGCTTGTGCGTGTGTGTGCGTGGCAGGAAAGCTACAACCGTAAAAATGAGTGAGTGAGTGTGCCAGGAGAGTTGCAACCGTAAAAAATGACTTCTGCAATGCAACTCTTCCCATTTAACAACAAAACCTAAACATCCCACATTAAGTTCCTACCAGTTATCAAAATCACATTCCAACTCGACATAACATCAATCATCTCACTTACATCTATGTATTTAATGATGTGCTGCAGCATTTCCTCTTCCTTGACGCGCGGCATTTTTGGATTTCAGATTTTGTAAACAACTGATGACGTCACAGGGAAGCGAGGCTAAAAGTGCCGATTAAGTACCGCAAGTCTATACATATACAAACATACATAAAAAAAAAAAAAAAAAAAAAAAAAAAAAAAAATATATATATATATATATATATATATATATATATATATATATATATATATACACACACATATGTGTGTGTATGTATGCATGTATGTATATAATATATATACATTATACATACATACATACATATATATGTATGTATAATGTATATATATTATATACATATATACATACATACATACATATATATGTGTGTATGTATGTATCTATATAATATATATACATTATACATATATATATATGTATATATATATATTATAAATACATACATAAATGTGTGTGTGTGTATCAACGTCATCATCAGCCTGGATTGATCCACTGCAGGACGTAGGCATCTCCCAGTCTTTTCCTGTCTTGCGTGTTTTTGTTTCTAATCTTGGCTGCCAAATTTCGTTATTTCGTCGCGCCATCTTGTCATTGGTCTGGTCCTTGGCCTCTTTAAGTTACCTATAGCCCAGTCTGTTAATTTCTTTCTCAATCCATGGCCCTGTCTCCGACATATAAGACCTTGCCCATTGCCTTTTTTTTCTTCTTGTTTTGATGCTCCCATGTATATCTTTGTTCCCTGGTCCACGTCGCCCTCATCTGATCTATTGGGCTAATTCCCAGAATCAACCTCTCCCTCTCTGGGCACTTACTAGTTTCCTCTCCAGCAATTTGGTTGTAGTCGATATTTCTTATCCATTGGTCACTACTGGGAGGACGCATTGGTTAAAGACTTCTTTTTAAGCATAATTGCATGCAACCTCTTAGTATGCTACTGTGTCTGCCCAAGGTGCTCCAGCCTAGACTGATGCGTCGCTTAATTTTCTCTTCGCTAGATGTGTCTTTCTGTACAATTTGCTCTGGGTATATGTACTTGTTCACAACCTCTAGCACTTCGCCTTGTACATGAATCTGCTCGAATTGAACTCTAATGTCGAACATGATCTTAGTCTTTTTCTTGTTCATTCTAAGTTCGACTTTCAGACTTTCTCTATTCAGATGTTTATTAGTTGTTACATTTCATTTGCAGATTCACCGAAGAGAACACTATTATCTGCAAATCTTAGATTGTTTAGATAGTCGTCACCTATTTCAATACCTGTTTTGCCATTCTAGCCTTTTGAATATTTCCTCAAGGCAAGCTGTAAACAGTTTTGGTAGGATGGTATCGCCCTGTCTAAAACCTTTTAAAATTTTATTGGTTTCCGTTTAGAGCTGATGGTTGCTGCCCCAACTTCCAATATTTTACAATATATCTCCTCTACTCCCTGTCTTCGAATAGCTTCTAGTACTGCTGGCATTTGTATATTCAAATGCCTTTTCGTAGTCGATTAATGCTATACACAGAGGTTTCGTATGTTTGTTGTATTTTTTTTTTTTTTTTTTTTTTTTTTTTTTAGCGTGTGGATGTGGACTGTTGTTGAGAATCCACTGCGAAAGCCTGACTGTTCTCTAGGCTGGTTAGAGTCCATAATGTCAGATATGCGAGTTGTGATGATTTTTGTGAACAGTTTGCAAGTAACTGAAAGGAGGTTTATGGGTCGGTAGTTTTTAGGTCCTTTCTATCTCCTTTATGCACCAAGATAATTGTTGCAACTTTCTAGGCTTTCGGAGCTTTTCCGTTGAGATTCCATTTGTTAAAAAGATTTGCTAGTTTCGCTGCTGCAAATCCTCCTGCATCTACTATAAGGTCTAAACTAATTCCGTCTTCACCTGTTGTTTTCCCTCTCCATGCCCTTAAGCACTCATTTTATTTCTGTTGTGATATTAGCTACATCTCTAGTTACCGCGTTTGCTTTTATCCGTGGCTGTTTATTTGAGTTGTATAGATCCCTGTAAGAGTCTTCCACAACTCTTATGATTTCATTCTTATTACATATCATTTCTCCGTCTGGTTTCTTTATTGCATACATTTGATTTCTCCCTATACCGAGTCTCCTTTTAACTGATTTCATGATGGTATCTGAGATCACTGTTTCATTTATTATTTGAGTATTGAATTTCCATACATCTCTCCTTGTTTTATTTATTGCCTTTGTTAGCACTTTTTTGTTTTTTTCGTTTGGCAGAGAGATAGGAGTACTATATAATTTGGATCTTCATGGGAAAGTGCTAATCTAATTGATCGGCATCACTTGTGCTTGTCCAGTTGGAAATACTTAATGGAGCGTACAATGAGGGGGTGTAGAATGCCATCTATATATTTCAGGTAAGGAGCATTTAGTTCTGTTTTTGAAGCCATGGATTTAGGCCCTATTAGTTTATCAATATGAGCATGTACATGAGTTCTGTGCCAAGGAGCAGCAAGTACTGTATCTGGAATATCAATAGTTTCGTTGTTTGGTACATTGAAGAAAATAATAGTATGAGCAGTTTTAGTTTACCATTCTGAGTTGAACTGTTTGAGATTGGAGTATCAAAGCCGGTCATCCCTAATTCTATAATTTATTTCATTCGATAGAATGTTGGAGATTCGTGGTCTGGGTAGAAGTTGCAGGAGTCTGATGCCAAGTATGGTGTTAACTTGGGCGACACGATTGGGAACAAAGGGGAGGTCTAGCTCTTTCCTTATGACGAAAACTTTAGCAGTCATTGGGCATCCAAGTATTATTCTCATGGCCTTGTTCTGTAAAACTTTAAGGGGTTTGAGGGCACTTGGTGGCAGCATACTAAGAACTGGGCTTGCATAGCCTATCATGGACCTAACAAGGGAGATATACATCAACCTTAGGACTCTCACGGAGGCACCGACATATATGTTAGTTATGTATTGCAATGGTCTTAAACGGATGGATCAGGTCTTTGATCGGGTGGAGTAAACGAGTGAGGATTCTTTCACAGGTTTTAGACAGACAGGACTTAAAAGAAGTTGGTTTAAATTCATCAGATCGTCTTGGTCTTGGGATGGTTGCTTGTTTCCAAGCAAGATGCCTGCTGTGTAGGTTCAGTTAAAGAGATCAAGAAGAGGATTTTTTCCCTTTACCTGTACATTTGCAAGACGTTGGATGGTGTCGTAAGAGATTCCATCACCCCCAGGCGCAGTGGATTGGCGTCTTTATGGCTGCAAAAAGAGTGCATCAGCCTCCTCTAAGAGGTGGTATTGATAGTCAATTTTGTTTTTATGGCTTGACTTAAGGGAGCACCTGCGAATGGGAGACTATCCTCACAGCATTTATTGAGGAGAGATGAGGCTACTCTTCCTGTTTGTGGTTGGGGTGTTATATTACATGTATTGATTTGATTTTGATTTCCTTCCATACAGTACTCATGGGTGTTACGGATTCCTAGCTAAGCACTGGGTATTCCCCAAGTGTTGTTTCTGACTTACTGTAGATCGTATGGGCCTTCTAAGAAGTTTTATATCAGGGTCTTTGTTCAGTTGTTGTACACGTCAACCTCTGGAGGATAAAAAGTTTCATTAAAGTGATGACGGCTGGTAAGAGTAAAGTCTTCATACGAGCAGGTAATTCTTTTAATGAATTCATCAGTAACAAGGTGGTATCGAAGGCGTGGCTGGGGTGGGGTTCTTTTGCAAAAAGGAAGGGTTATACTTAATGCCTAGTGATCACTAATTAAGAATGGGATGACTTCCGTAATGCTTGGTAGTGTGTACTGATAGATAGATAGATATAGATATAAGTATAAGTGTGTATATATGTGCACACACACAAAAAAAAAGATGTCTGTATATATATACATACATACATACACACACACACACACACACATATATATATATATATATATATATATATATATATATATATATGTGTGTGTGTGTGTGTGTGTGTGTGTGTGTGTGTATGTATGTATGTATATATATACATACATCTTTTTTGGTATTTGGGGATGGGAAGGTTAGCGAAAGGAATTTGGAAGGAGTCTCAAAGGATTCTGATGTTTGCGGTTGATGTGATCTGTAGTGAAACTTGGGAGTGAGTTGAGGTGAGACTGGAGTGCTGGGGAGAAGGGGAATGGATGATAGCAGGACTGAAGAAGGCATACAGTACCTCTGGAGTATCTGTATGTGGATAAGAGAGAGGAATGTAGCGGTTGTATATACTTATATGGAGTTTGGGATAAAGTACTAAACATCGAAGTGCCTCTTGAATTTTTAGGGTTGATGAAGACTAAAGGAGAACATTCATTTACTTTGTTTCAGCCTAAATAAATATTTAATTTTGTTTTTACAAGAATACCTGTCGGGCTTTTTTAACTGCATTGTCACCATTACCATGTTATTTGAAATAATGTAATATATGCCCTTTATCTGTTCGTTTTAGTATATCTTCTTTTTTTTTCTTTTTTATAGCAGGAATTATTTAAGAGTCCACTTCAATTGAGGGCCAGGGGACCTCCTTCGATCTGCGCCCGCGCGCACACACACACACATATATATATGCACATTATATGTGTGTGTGTGTGTATGTATGCAAGTCACACATACATATGTCCTCAGCGTGCCTGTGCCCAGGAACCCTCGTTATGTGGGCTCCTAATAGAGTTAATGTGTGGAATTTGTGATTTGTAATAATGTAAACACGTAAAGAATAAAGGAATGTAGAGAGCACTGTGGTTGGATAGACATAAAATGCATCGCACTTTACTCTCTCTCTCTCTCTTTCTCTCTCTCTCAGTTTCTGACATATACGCGAGTATATGCATGTGTATGTATGTGTGTGTGTGTGTGTGTGTGTGTGTGTGTGTGTGTGTGTGTGTGTGTGTGTGCGTGCGTGCGTGCGTGCTTGTAAACGTGATTATATGAGTGTGTCTGTATATGTACAATGGTTAATTACCAGAAGAAATAAAGGCTGTGGAGCGCTGTAGGACAGAATGGCAGTGCAAAGGGTCTAGATGGGGAGCAAGTGTAATACGGCGGGGATTAGTCAAAAGGGAAGGGGCTAAATGAATAAGACGATCAGATCAAATAATGAGTATGTGTCTGTTACAGGGAGATCAACATTGTATAAGGAAAACTGTAAAAGAGCCATTATGAAACAACGGGTAATATGGGTAGAAATGGTAGTTGTAGAAGTAGGAGATGAACCCAGAGAAAGAGATAAGGGAACAGGGGAAGGTGGTGAAGTAACAGGGAGAATGTCAGGAGGGGATCCGGAGAAGGACATTGTTGTGGCATAAGGAAGTCACGTAAGCATGCAGGTGGGAGTGGTAAGGATAACGGGGAAGGAAGAGGGAATGGCGATGCACATGGAGGAGGATGGAAGAGGAAGAGGGGTAGGGGGAACTTGAGGAGGAGCGGGACGGATATCGGCAAATGCTTCGAATGTAGAGCGCATAGGAATTGGGGCATTGGAGAGTGGATGAGGATACGGAGCATTCTCTTGGGTCTTGGATGTCTTCAAGAGTTTCTGGAAGGGAGTTGGGTGGGAAAGACTAAGAAACAAAGGTTTTCTTATGAGGAGGAGAAGAGGGAATAGATGTCCGAGGAGCAGACGGAAAGGTTGGTGTAGAAGAGGATGTGGAAGGAGAATATTGTGCGAGATGGAGTGGAGGATGGTGGGAGACAGGAAAGGGTGTATTTTGGAGGTTGAATAATGATCTGGTGGATGTTTCGAAATGGATAAAGTTAACCGCAAACATCTGAATGCAGAATTTTGGCCAGGTCTTGGGGTGGACATTTGGGCAGATCTAGGGGAGGACTTTTGGCTAGGTCTGGAAGCAGAAATTTGGCCAGGTCTGGGGGCGGACTGGGGAACAGAGCACCACCTGGAGAACTTAGGGAGCCCCAATTAGAGAATTCTTCCCCCAGATCCCCAGTGGTTTCGGAACATTGGCTAAGTGTGGCTAGTGGAAGCTATTCTTTATGCATGCGGATGTTCTGTGCGTTTAATCTCGGGAAAAAGAAGAACTGGCAACTCACTATAGACTCTGGAGTGTTCCGATTCGCCATGACTCTTTTCAGAAAGATAAAACAATGAATGAAAATAAATATATAAAAATAAGAATAACTAATAAATTGCATTGGTCTAATGCAATGGAAAACATCACATATAGGGTTTGAGAACTACGCGCGTGGTAAGTGTCAGTTGATTAGAATGAATATAAAAAAGAATGCGAATCGACGTGCTCCAGCGCCTGGATTGAGTTGCCAGTTCTTCCTTCCCAGAACTGGACATACTCGTTAGCTCCATTTCCCACCTTGGTAATTCCTTCTCACTTCCACTTCCCCCTCTGCGGACTTACCGAACGAGTAATTGATTTATGCAAGACACTGGACTATTGTATCTTTTCTATTTTTTATTTCTTATTTTTCATTTTCCCTTTTGAGAACCATTCGTTCAATCACACTCAAAGCTACTTTGTTGAATCCTAAACAAATAATAATAATCAATCAAACAATAGATAAGATAAACCAAATTTGTTTTCTTTATATTCATACACACACAGACACACACATATATATATATATGTATATATATATATATATATATATATATATATATATATATATATATATATATAGATGCGCTACTTGGTTTTCAGCATGCACACACGCCATCAGGTTTCCTAATTTTTTAATTCTCCATTTACATCACACCGTCAGCTGCGGAATACAGCATTGTGTGTTGTGAGTCGACCCGCGTCCTTGAATCGTGCAACTGTTAAAAAGCCTGCGATAGCGGCTTTGTTACTACGGTGATAATAACGAGGATAGTAATTGCTGTTGCCATCCTCATTGTCGGCACTGCTGCTGAATTTTTTTTTTTTTTTTTTTTGTTCACTTTCGTCAGTTTCTTTGTTGTTGTTGTCCTTGTTTCACCATTATCACTATGGGTACTATAATGATAATCCGTATTAATATCAATCTATTTACTCTTATGTTCGTGATTAATAGTCTTACTATTAACTGTCTTTCATTCATGTGACAGAAAACCGCAGCCAGCATACGTTTATATATATATATATATATATATATATATATATATATATATATATATATATATATATATATATATATATAATCTGACGTAAATGATATATGATTATACCTTATGATGTATACAATATATATGATTTCTTTAATATCTGGGAAATAATATCTTAATATATTCTCTTTATTCATAGCCATTGCATTTTTTCCCAAATCTACACTCTGAATTTTCATATAAAAAATTGATAATAAACTGATGAACAAAATTTCCTTTAGGCTACAAGCGGTATATTCCAGTATGATTTCCCGCAGTCGGTTCTATAAAGTCAAAATATATCGCAAAATTTAAGATATAACGTAATCTCAACTTCACTCTCGTCTGCTGAAGTTAATCCTAATTTTCCTTCATTGTCAATTCTGAACTGTACAAAGTTCTTTTTCTCATTCACTGCGCCTCTGTTATTGTCTGGATTATGTTTATATATTTTTGAACGTTTTTCCCCTGAGTACTGGTTTATGACTGTGTGTTAGTTTGTGTTACTTAGCTGTATTTTTTTTTCTCTCTCTCTCTCTCACTCACTCTCTCTCTCTCTCTCTCTCTCTCTCTCTCTCACTCTCTCTCTAAGTCTCTCTCTATCTCTCTCTCTCTCTCTCTCTCTCTCTCTCTCTCTCTCTCTCTCTCTAAGTCTCTCTCTCTCTCTCTCTCTCTCTCATCCTCCGTCTCTTGCTATATCTTTCATTGGGAATAAAAAGTAACACGCTACAGAGACAGTGATTCTCCATGAGAGTATAACTTCAATCCATATTTTCATTTCATCAGCACTCCTAAGTAGGGCACTTGAGAGAGATTGCAAAAGAAAAAAAGAAAGAAAAAGGTGAACCAGGAAGCAGCCTTTGTGGGTTTTGAATTTCCCGCGCTGAAGTATGTTTATCTACTCTTCCTGGTAATGTTATCAGTGAAATGCAAACGAATACATAGGGAACATCATACATACATTTTTATTAACTTTTCGCTCTTTTTACTATTGTTTCTGGCATTTTATTGTTGTGTTTATCTTATATTTTAAAGAATAGGAAGCAGTGTAACTATTAGACTTTATCCTGTTATGCTAGTGACCGGAATGTTCTATTACCTTTTACAAAGTTATGGCAATTTTTTGCCCTTTTGCAGACAGAACTAAATAAAAATATATATATATTTTACATTGTGTCGTGTAGATTTGAAAACAAATGAAATCTCTATAAGTTATATGTATTTTTTACATATGCTCAAATACACACGTAGAACACACACACGCACATATATATGTGTGTGTGTGTGTGTTTGTGTGTGTGTATTCTACACATGTCTGATTTGATATATGCCCTTA